TTAGTCCTTTCCAGAAAGGCGAATCAGTCGGCCTGACTGCGACCTGGGACAATGTTTTAGTTTGGAGGTACTTGTTACGAAGGATCTGCGCCCACATGGCCTCAGTCCCGGCGGACAGCTTCCACAACCACTTACTAAGAAGACATCTGTTCTTGACTTCAAGATTTTCAATACCGAGACCCCCTTGGTCTTTCGGTCTACAGATGATGTCCCATTTAGTAAGCCGGTACTTTCTTTTAAGTTCATCATCCTGCCAAAAGAAGCGCGACCGATAGAAGTCCAGTCTTTTCCTAACACCAACTGGGACCTCAAAGAAAGATAAGAGAAACATAGGCATACTCGTGAGCACCGAATTAATCAAAATCAACCGGCCTCCGTATGACATGAGCTTACCCTTCCAACAACTCAGTTTTTTCTCAAAACGATCCTCGATGCACTTCCATTCTCTGTTTGTTAGCCTACGATGGTGAATCGGGATACCAAGGTAAGAGAAGGGTAAACTCCCCAACTCGCACCCAAACAACTGCCTATAAGACTCCTGGTCGTCTTTGGCTCTACCAAAGCAGAACAATTCGCTCTTATGGAAGTTAATCTTTAACCCGGTTAATTGTTCAAACAGGCATAACACAAGCTTCATATTTCTCGCCTTGGCCAAATCATGCTCCATAAAAATGATTGTATCATCGGCGTACTGAAGGATGGAAACACCTCCCTCCACAAGATGAGGAACCAACCCACCCACTTGACCATTTTCCTTAGCCCGGCCTATCAAAATTGCTAACATATCCACCACAATGTTAAACAGGATAGGGGACATCGGATCTCCTTGTCTTAGGCCTTTATGTGTCTGGAAATAATGACCTATGTCGTCATTCACTTTAATTCCCACACTCCCTTTTTGCGTAAATGATTCGACCTGTCGGCGCCAGGCTTCATCAAAACCTTTCATACGCAATGCCTATTGGAGGAATGGCCACTTAACTTTATCGTACGCTTTTTCGAAATCCACCTTAAAAATTACTCCATCTAATTTTTTGGAATGGATTTCATGGAGCGTTTCATGAAGGACAACCACCCCTTCAAGGATGTTCCTGTCCGGCATGAAAGCAGTTTGGGATTGCTGCACCACAGATTGCGCAATCTGTGTGAGCCTATTAGTTCCGACCTTGGTGAAGATTTTGAAACTAACATTGAGGAGGCAGATCAGCCTGAACTGCTCAATCCTCGCAGCATCCGTTTTCTTCGGAAGCAAGGTGATAGTTCCAAAATTCAAGTGAAATAATTGAAGCTGTCCAGAGAATAGATCATGAAACATAGGTAGTAAATCCCCCTTAATAATGTGCCAACACTTTTTATAAAACTCAGCCGGGAACCCATCCGGACCGGGAGCCTTATTGTTTTTCATTTGTGCAATAGCCTCAAACACCTCCTTTTCTGAGAACGGGGCAGCCAGGATATCATTATCAGCAGCAGTCAATTGAGGCACGTCCTCAACCCTGGACTCATCGAGGGACACACAATTGGCCTCCGGCAGTCCAAATAGCTGTCTATAGTATTCGGTAATATAGGTTTTGAGATTATCCTGCCCTAGAATAGTACCCTCATCCTGCTCTAGCTGAAAGATCCGCTTCTTTCTGTGTTTACCATTAGCAATGAGGTGGAAGAATTGAGTATTCGCGTCCCCTTGTACTACCTTGCGGACCTTGGCACGCAAAGCCCACTTCAATTCTTCTTCGCGGAGAAGTTCTTTCAGCCTCTTCTCCGCCTCATTTTTAACTTGGAGCTCGGTAGGCAATAATAGCGCAGATTCAGCTTTTACGTCCAATGCCTGTATAAGAGAGAGGAGTCTATCCTTCTCAACCTTATACACCCCACTTAGATGCTTAGCCCAACCCCGTAAGAAGCTTCTCAAATGCCTAATTTTATTCTGCCAGCGCTCGACCGCCGTCCTTCCTCCAACACCCTTAGCCCACTCCCTGGCTATGATGTCTAAGAATCCCTCGCGTTCGAACCAGGCCATCTCAAAAGAGAAGGTGTTTTTGTTTCCTATATGGTTCGGCTCCCCTGAGTCCACGAACAAAGGTGTGTGATCAGAGATTCCCCGCGTGAGAGCTTGCACCGTAACAAGAGGGAACTTCTGTTCCCACTCCACGCTGGCGAGAACCCGATCAAGCTTCTCATATGTCGGGTTTGGCAGAGCATTAGCCCAGGTAAACTGTCTACCAGTGAGCTCTATCTCCCTTAGATCTAAGCTTTCAATAATAGTATTGAACATAAACGACCACCTGCCGTCGAAGTTATCATTGTTTTTCTCCTCTCTCCTTCTAATGATATTGAAATCACCCCCGACCAAAATCGGAAGCTGTTCGGACCCACATATCCGAACCAGATCCGCCAGAAACTCCGGTTTAAGCTCGGGTTGGGCGGCACCATAGACCGCTACCAACGCCCAGTTGAACCCATCAACTTTAGACCGAACTCGAAACTTTACCGCGAAATCACCCATTACTACACTCCGGACTTCAAGGGCATCACATCTCACACCCAGTAAGATGCCCCCCGATCGACCTCGTGGCGGGAGGCAATGCCAATCAAACTCAAGACCACCCACAAGAGAGGAAAGAAACTGCGGCGCAAAATTATCTCGACCGGTTTCCGACAGAGCAACGAAATCTAACCGATGTTCCAGAGACGCTTCAGCAAGAAACCTCCTTTTAGCCAAGTCTTTCAGACCTCTGATATTCCAAAAGATTCCTTTCATAGTTCATCATGGAATTTTTTAGCAGTCCGAATCCTAGCACTCCTACGAACAGCAGAGCTATATAGATAATGCAGAAGATTGATCACAAAGAATATTAGCAAGGATACTACAATGAGGTGATGATGCAAAACAGCTGAAGTATGAAATGCATATGTGCCAGCACTCATTAGAACAGATCTATCACAAAAATAAATGGTGTTAATATAATTAGATGTCATGCAAAAGCTGCAAACACAAATGGTCAGACGTTAGTGATGAAAGGGATAAATCACTAACATGTGCAGTTGGTGAACGAAGAAGGTACTACTCGTTGGCTTACATCTTTCGGCCTTTCCAGATATCTTGCAAATCATCGTTGCCGTCTGTACTCAGCGGCAGTGGGATGGAACACCGTTGATGTCTCTGGGCAGAGCTTTCGATGCGGATCAATCGTTGTCTGCTTATTGTGTCGTGGCCGGTGAGACGTACTGCTGCTGCTCAAGTGGAGCTTCTGGCATGGAGGCCTCCGACCGCAGCAGGAAGAGATCAGGCTTCTGCACCCAGATGAGCCTCCGTAGGTAAGCTTTCCTTGACGATCTCGATGGCCGGCAACAGAACTGTGACCCAGCGCACGTAGATAGGTGGAGATGAGGCAGACCGGTGTCGAGGAGTGGGCTCATGCGGAGGTTGCCTACTGGTCGCCGGCTGTAGCTAGGAGAAAAGGTGGTTTCCTTTTTGTTGAATGAGAGAGAGTAGTTGGCCATGGACGGCCGTGAGGTGCTTGTAGGCAAGGGATATGTGGGAGATCGAGATGCATTGCTTTTTGTTTTGATGGAGAGAGACTATTCGCCTCTTACGGTTGCAAACATTTGTATTAAATGTATTAACTGGAAAAAGAAGAGAGGCTGCTCGACTCCTACGTTTGAAACTGAACCATTTAGTACTCCATTAGAAGTATATATTGCGTATATGTTTCGGTAGGCAGCTGCAATTAATTAAAAAATACTGCTGACTTGGCATGAAGGTGATGTCGACAGTGTGCATATTGAGAAAATCGATAGTAGTGGGGATCAACTTCTTAAGAATGCAAGATGTGCTACTTATATATAGGGTTTGTTTGGTTCAGTGGCTATCCTTCGACGGGATAGGGATATTCACTTTTTAGGTTGATGGCGAGTGTTTGGTTTTAAGGATGAGAGGGATGTGGATAGCCTATATTCCAGCAATATTCACATTTTAGGTGGTTGAGCTTGTCCGCAAAAAACTGGCGGATATGGGCAGCCACTTTCATCCGTTGATGTGCGGCGGCGGCGGTCGGGGACCTAGGGGTCAGGGCGGTGGCCTGAACTAGGCCGGTGGCGACGACAACCAGGTACGGCAGGCTAGCATGACATACTGGATTCGGAAAGTGCCGTGAGAAGACGGAGACCGGCATGTCATCTTGGCCATGGCGAACGAGGAAGAAAATGGTCATCGTGAAGCTGCATTGGACGAGAGGATGTGACATTCCCGGGACGAGCTCGCCTCGTCAGTGCGCACCTTCTGGCAAAGGGAATCATCTCGAGGCAGTCTGAAGGAGCGAAACGACGACCGCGACACCAAGGCCGGGGTGGAGGCACGGATGGAACCACACCCACGCCATGGGGGAGCCGTGCTGAGCCGCCGCCAGGGTCGAGACCGTTGTCCGAGGCGTCGATGAGGAGGTGGACTTGTATGTAGGCATTTTATCCTATTGTCACGGGGCGCGAATACTAGAATTTGTGTGTAGGCATTTTATCCTATTTTGGCCGGTTATGGCTTGTGGTCTTGTAATTTTCCTTTTGCTTTTGTTAGAGATTCTTATTCGGGAGGACGAGGGCATTCCTCCTTTCCCTCAAAAAAAATATGGCATTGTGTCGAAATCATGAGATCGTGAATGTTGTAGCTATATTTCCGAACGTAATGTAATCCGCCAAGAAGGCTTTCTATAAAAAAAAGGTCATGCGCCTTGGTAAAATTTGGCAAAGGCAACTACTTCTGCTTGTATTTTGGTTAAATTCCCTGTGAATTAGTGAAGCAAGGAGACATGCATGGTTGCTACTCATGGAAAAGACGGGGAGAAGAAAGAGAGTAACAAAATAACCACCTCGCTGACTAAGGAAATGCAAGCACAATCACAAACGTTCCGCAGCCAAAGGCGTCAAGAACGAAGCTCAAGGGAAATAATGGCGGTGCTCCGACAGCTGCGACAGGCCGCAGCGCACGGACGGGAGCACTATACATGACTAACAACACCACAGATATCTTGGGCGCGCTAAGGCCGATAGAGAAATTAAGGCAGAGGTGGGGAACTGGCGATGCATGTCACATATACCCGAAGTCGATCTTGAGGGCGTTGGGACCTTCCTGGCCGAGCTCGCGGTTGAGCTCCTCCTTGGCCTGGGCGAACGCGTCCTCCTTGGTGCCGTCGTCGGCGCCGCTCTCCAGCACCGTGCTGACGGCTCTGAAGATGGGCTTCCACCGCTGGGCCTCGAGGTTCACCACCCCCAGCGCCCACTTGAGCTTCTCGGCGTCGCTGGTCTCTGGCCTGTGGCGAGAGATCACGGTAATGGCCTGCGCCATGGCTTCCTGCCGCAGCTGCAGGTCCTCGTCCCCAGCGGCGACTGGGCTGTTGCTGGCGGGGAGGACGAATTTGACCTCGATGGTGCGAGCATCATGTCTGAAAATCACACTGGCCCTCGCCTTGTACATCGCGCTGGCAGCGGCAATGCTGTTGCAGCTGGCGGAGAAGGCAAGCAGGAGGAAGAGGAGGCGGAAGGCGGCCATGGCGAATGGAAGATTGGTACGTCTCCTCTCCTGAACAACGGATGAAGTATATGGGGTGGGTGGCAGAAGAAATCATGTGACTTATCTGATCGATGGACTGGTCACACTCTCTTTAGCTTAGTACGATTACTAAGGCACGCCCATCGCATTGCACAACTGAAAGCTGAAGCCGTGCAGAGGAAAGCACGTGACTGATCTAATCGTTTTGGGCGGCTTTTTGACCAATTTGGCGCCCATCTTCAAACCTCTTGAGAGAGAAGACGTGCAGAACGTACGTACTCTACTCACAAGGATGTGATCAACAACTTGGGGCGGCTTTTTTGTACATGTTTGTTTACGTCCAACAACTTCTACCTTTTGTTTCACAAGGATGTGATCAGAGGACCGCGGAGATGATAAAGAGACCCGGCCGGCCGGTTGACTGGTTCCTCTCTCATTTTGCTTCTGTGATGCATGGTCATAGCAAATACATTACTGTGATGGATCTGGTCTTTGGCTCGGTTTTAATTCCAGGCCATCATCGTTCATCTGAATTTGTGTGTCTTCAGGTTAGATCCTTCAATTCTATGCTTCTCTTGATCGGCGGCGGTTGCTAACTTGCTTTTTTTTGAGGCAAACTCCGAAGCTTTATTACGTCACAATGTTTACATGGACAAAAGAGAGTCCGTCCGGCTGTCCCAACCAAACATGTCGGCCAGCCGGAAGGGATAACGCGTGCTTCGCGAGCTTGTGAGCTTCGATATTCGAGCTCTTAAATTCATGGCATAAATTACACAAAAGGAAATTTGATCTATGCTCTATTATTTCATGTATGATCGCCCATAAGCTGTAGGATTGTTGGCTCGGATGTCCTCGACCACCACCTTCGAGTCGGACGCCACTTGTATAGTTGAAACATTGAGGTCATCCGCAAGGGCCAACGCCTCCCTGATCGCCATGCACTCAAGGGTGGCCGGATCGGAAATTCCTGCAAAAACCATAGCCGATGCTCCCAGAAAAAGGCCATCAGAGTCTCTCGATATTGCCGCTATAGAACCGTGTCTACTACCCCTCCCCACTGCAGCATCCACATTCAGTTTTGTCAGCCCTGTTGGTGGGGGAATCCAGCTTGTCGGGCGAGGAATGGTGTTGCCACCCTGCCTCGTTTTAACAGTTTTGATAGCTTCCAGTTCCCTTATGTAAGACTGAATAAAACCATGTACCTGAAAAGGACTTTGGTATATTTGCTCATAGATCGCCTTTCGGCGCGCTCCCCACCTATGCCTAAGATAAATAACTTTTTTTCTCGCAAAAACATAGATAAATAACTTTTTGGTTCATGTCTTAAATCCGTCCAGCAATAAAAAATATTGTGATGACGCGTGGACTACACTTAATTAGATATTCCATCGCTGGTGGTCCCGCAACGTCCTCCATCCTCTAAATTCTTAAATACTTGCATCCCTCACTAACTATTTTTGCTAAGCGCACAACCCTTCCACGTCAAAAAAGTCATGCATATCCGCCACACCAACAACCTGTCAAGTCACTACATATTTTTGGATGCATGCGGCCCTTCCACATCAACAAATCATGTGTGGCTACCATATACGAAAAATTAATCTCACAATTATTCATTTCATTGGACTAATTATCCATATCTTCAACCTACCTATTTTTAGCAGTGTTCCTGCGGCAATGTACGGTATCATCTATAGTTTATAGAATGTCTGTTACAGGTTGAAAAAATGTTGTTTAATAAAAAATAATATGAATTTCGCTATATTTTTTGGAAGCATAGTATTCCTGGCTACAGGCATGCCAAATAGTGTACAGATATGAAAACCACTAATAGGAAAGACACAATTTTTTTTGAGCATCAGTACAGACACAAGCGCTCATATACACGCACATACACTCGCCCCTAATTTTAAAGGACATCTAGGATGAAGGAGATTTTTTTTGTTTGACAAAGAGACGAAATAAGGAGTTTATTTAGCGATTTTTTTTTGAAAGTCTGTGCTACTTAAACCAGGTGACCTCCTGTTTCGTCGCTACTATGGAGTAGTACTATTTTGTGAAAATATAACCAACCTTAAAACATAACCTCCCTAGTACTATTACAAAACAGTAAGATTCAGCTACCTACGAGCCTCCACAACGATTTGAAGCTCTCAGCCATAGGATCACTCTAACGAACGCTTCAGATCTACTGGTCGTACCTCGAACGTCCCGCAGTGCCTCTCTGGCCCGTCACAGCGCGTGTAGGCTGACCCAACCTCACAGGGCCGCTGCTCCTCCAATTGACCTGGACGGCTTGTCGCTAATCGGGCCAAAATGACATGGGCCGCGCGGTTGCGAGGGGGATGACTCTGTTTTAGCGGGCCTACCAATCTACGCCGCATCGCAAGGATTTGTGTTCTTCGACCGAAGCCTCTCGTTCCTGTCCGTGCGGCCGGCGGCGGCGTAGCGATGCCGGGATGGTGATGAGCTCCTTGCGAAGATCTTGAAGGAGAAAAGGAGCCATGGAGCCACAGTGCCCTGTAGACAGCTGCTCCACACCCGAAGATAATTCAGCTTCGAGGACTTGGGTCCGATCCATCCCAGTCCCATCTTTTTCCGTCCGCGACCTCAAATATGTACTACTAGACGCATCTCGTTGGTCTCACATTCGTAGAACTGCCTGGGTCGTGCTCACTGCTAAGGTAGTTATGTTCTTCATTTTTTTAATCGAAATACTATGTGATATTTCAAGCTCCTACAAAGTCTGATGTGCAGCTTGATGTGGGGGCATGAAATCATATTGCTGTATTTTCTATACAAATATATGTATGTACATGTGAATTTACAATTCTTTGTCCGCGTGTGCAAATCAGTGTCGTATTGTTTTACACACTGGCTTCGTTGCACGGATCACCACATGCTTGTTATTAGCACTTCCTATGTCATATTTGCTCAATTCTAACTGAAAGTCAAACTTTGAACAAATATTGCGTAAAATCCAGATATCACATTTTCAAGAACTTTGCCCTATATATTTTTTTCTATTTCTCTGCATTTTTGTTCTCAAAGACAGACGGGCGCGGTAACGCGCGCCTTCATGTTTTAGTTAGTATTCAATAAAGTGTGGATACCAAGCTAAAAGAAAAGTACACCTGGAGGGACACATTTTTCAGCCTTTGAAGCAGCGCATTTCACGAACATCTGATTGTTCAAGCCAGCATGACAATGTTATGAGCCATGCATTGTACATGTCCTAGGTGAGATGGAGCACACGATAATCTATGCAGCTTCAACTTGGCTTAGATATTCACGGACGAACACAGGGAGCACTAACAGAGTAACAAAAGAAGCCACCTCGCTGACTAATGAAATACTGGTTACAAGCAAGCAAGGAAAATCACAGACGTTCCGCAGCCCAAGGCGTGAAGAAGGAACAAGAAGAAAAGTAAAGGTGGAGCTCTGACAACTGCGACATGCCGCAGCGCACGGACGGGAGCGCCATAACTAACATCAGCACACACTAAGGCCAAAAAAGAAAGGCAGAGGTGGCGAACTGCCATGCATTTTACAGATCTTCGACTCCGAGGTCCCTTTTGAGGCATCTCGGACACGGGCCGAACTCCTGCTCCAGCAGCTCCTTGGCCGATGAGGACGCCTCCTCACTGCTACGGTCGTCGGCGCCGCTATCCATGGCCTTGTCAACGGCGTTGAAGATGGTCTTCCACCGCTGGGGGTGGGCCTGGACCTCACAGTCCAGCACCGCGAGCGCCCGCTTCACCTGCCTCACTGCTTCGGGGTCAGTGTTGGCCAGGTCGAAGCGGGTGACTACCCCGAGGGCCTGCACCATGGCCTCCTGCCGCAGCCGCACATCATCGTCGTCCGCAGCGGCCACTGTGCTGGCACTGTTGCTGGCGGCGAGCGCAAGCACGAGGACGAAGAGGAGGTGGAAGGCAGCCATGGCAGCTAAGTACACTGTACAACGATCCATCTCTTGAACAAGGACGCTAAGTATATATGGTGTGGTGGCAGTGGCAACGCCGATCGCATTGCACAACTGAAAGCTGCGTGAGTGGCAGAAGAAATCATCTGAGATATCTGATGGATTGGGCGCCGTTTTGACTGATCGATCTTGCCCACTTGCTTCAGCAGGCGCGTGGAGAGAAGACGTGCAGGATGTGATGTGACTATGTGAGTACTTAGTACGTGATAAAGCTGGCCCCGCACCCTCCGCGCCTCCTGTTGTACCGTTGGTCACTGATCTAAAATCCAATATATAACCTAACCGTGGAAGTTTTGGAACCAATTAACTCCGGCTGTTGTATAATTCTGAATTTTTTTACAGGAAAAGCATTTACGTTTCCATACAAAGGCAGAAGTATAATCTAATTCGGACAAAAATGCCCAGTAGCTTCAGGCTGGCCCATAACCTCCATTCCCAATCTTCATGCAACTCATTTTTTCTCGAATACACACGAGTGTGCGTACTTTATATTATAAAAAAAGAAAGGGTAAAAAGCCCTCATACAGCAGTTAATTACAAAGCGTGTGCACGCTTACTCCACCCGGCCTCGCCGGTGCACCTACAGACAACTAACTCCTCACACACGCCCGCCTAGTTAACTCCCCGAAGAACGCTGCCGTGTCGCACTTGAAGAGTCCAGCCTTTTTCCATGTCTTCCCCTCCTCTTGTACTTGTTGCAACACGCGCCTTATGGATGGCGTTGCACCGTTGAAAACAATTACGTTTCTGTGCTTCCACAACTCTCATATCACTAGCATGAAGAGAGTTCTGACGTCTTTGCGGGCTGTTTTGTTCTAGACCTTGTCAGTGCACCACTCTCGTAGCGAACTGGGCCGGGCCAGCACCCACTCAGGCTTCCCCAATGCCCGACAGAGCACCGTCCACGCCTCTCTGGCAAAAGACGCAGTGCAGCAGAATGTGTTGGATCGACTCTTCTTCTTGGTCGCAAAAAGGGCACGCCTCCTGGTGGTCCAATCCACGTTGTGCTAATTTGTCAGAGGTCCAACAACGATTTGTAAGTGCCAACCATG